TAGACGTAAATCTTGAAGGTCGCTCAGGATGAACCAGTAGCCCAGGAGCTGGGAGGAAACACGCGGTCGATGCACTGCCCAATCCAGGTGAAGTATTTTCTCGAAATTCCAGGTATGTTCTTGTTACTACGATTATTTTCTCGATGTCGAACACTTTTTATGGATAGACAGCTTCTTTGTTGCAGTAGTACTTGCGACGTTTCGGTGTTGATCCTAACACCGTTATCAAGCAAATCAATCATTTGCTTCCAATCAATCCGCCTAAGAGATGAATCATTCCCATGGATATTGCTTTGTTTTGAATTTATTTATCTCAAATGAACGCTTTCACTCATCATTCTCCGAGAATACAGGTGTATAGTGTCAATATGTTGCACGCCATGCCGTATGTGCTATATATAGCACCAGTGTCGTTTTGAGCACAACAGGTCACACGGTTCGCCAGCGCGAGCACGAGCACGTGAATCTTGCTTAATGTACATTATTACCACGCACGTGTGTGACTCTCACAAGTTGGAATTACTTTTGTATTTCACCATTGATTCACAAACTGTAAGTAAGGTAACTTTTAAGCCTTTTTTTACACAAACATATTTACTATGTGTAATATATTTTGGAGGACAATATCATGAATATCATGAGCCGCGGCGTGCACGTATGATACGAAGTATAATAGCTATTTGTTTAGATGTTATGACAGACATGATAGATATCATGAGCCAAATATTAACTGGTCATAATTATTGTTTATCCATGGGGAAGCGGTGTCCGCGACCTTCCACCCCTAAAAACGTTGCCCATGGAAACCACGGATATTTCTTTGTTTTTAACTTTTCTATCCCTTGTTATATTAAAATCAATTTTTTCACTTGGACACAACAACTACTTTCCACCAAATTTTGGGCTACAGTTAGAAATAGATAATCATGGGGGCAAATAATAAAATTAATATAGTTACAGCCAATTGCAGAGGTTAAGCCGATAAAAGTAAACGCAAAGAAATTATGCATATATACAGAAGAAAGAAATTCTCTATCATATGTTTACAAGATACACATGTTTCTATAGACCATGAAAATATAATGAAAAATGAATGGGGTTTAGATTGTGTTATTGCTCTTTTCAAGTCAAATGCAAGAGGAGTCGCCATCCTCTTGAACAACAATTTTGAATATGGAATACACAAGATATCTAAGGATGAAAATAGAAACTACATCATTTTAGACATAACCGTTGACAGTATTAGATTTACCCTTACGAATGTATATGGACCGAATGTGGACACTCCTACTTTTTATATAGACTTATTCAAGAAGATATTAACTATGGGTAATGATTCAATTGCAATTTGTGGAGATTGGAACCTTGTTTTAGATCCTTCGATTGACCTAGAAAATTATAAGAATATCAACAACCCTAAGGCTCGTCAAATCGTTTTAGATAATCTAGAAAACATGAACTTACTAGACGCATGGAGAGAGGTAAACACTGACACGAGAACATATACATGGTGGAAAAGAAACCCTCGCCAACAAGCTAGGTTAGATTTCTTCATGGTCACTGAAGACCTGTTTAACATAAGTACCAATACCTCCATCATACCAGGCTATAAGAGTGAACATTCGGATTAACACTATCTCTATCACCACAAAATGGCAAGGAAAAGGGACGTGGGTATTGGAAGTTCAACACATCATTATTACGACATGGGGAATATATAGCATTAGTAACTGACTTACTCAATGCTACTAAGCATGAATACGCAGATCCTAAGTATATATACAGATGAAGAAGTAAACGACACAGATGATTCAGACTTACTCTTAACCATCAATGATACACTGTTTTTGGAAACCCTCTTAATGAAAGTCAGAGGGAAATCTATTTCATATTCGTCATATCTAAAAAAGACTAGAAAAGAAAAATACAAAGAATTGAAAGAGAACATATGTCGTTTAGAGGATGAAATAAGAAATGCTTTCCAAAATGTTGATGAAACACTTCTCTCAAATCTTTCAAAAAATAAAATCGAACTCGAAAAAATAAAAGAAGAAGAAATGAAAGGATTACAAATTTGTAATAGAATCCAATGGTGTGATGAAGGGGAGATACCTACTAATTACTTTTGCCATCTGGAGAATAGAAGCTACACAAACAACTTATTAATTCTCTTATAACTGACAGTGGTCATGAAACAACAGATGGAGAAGAAATAAGGAATGAACAGCAGATTTTGTACTAAAATTTGTATAAATCAAGTAATGTAATCGATGATGACAGTAAAGCTATATTCCAAACTATTGACACCCCTTCCTTAAACAAAAAACAGTCAGATGAATTAGAACGTGAAATAAGTATCGAGGAACTATCACTCGCCGTTAAATCGATGAAAAACAATAAAAGCCCTTGCCTAGATGGTTTCCCTATAGAATTCTTTAAGTTTTTTTGGAAGGACCTTAAAATATGGGTTCAGCGGTATGTTAAGGACACTTTCAACCGGAACTCTTTGACAATGACTATGAATAGAGGAGTGGTCACATGTATCCCCAAACCAGGCAAAGATAGAAGATTCCTAAAAATTTGGCGCCCTATCTCCCTCCTTAATGTATTGTATAAGATTATAAGTACTTGCATTACTAACAGGATTAAGAAGACACTTGATTATCTCATTAACGAAAACCAAACGGGTTTCATCCCAGGAAGATGTATAACAGAAAATATCCGACTCCTCTACGACATCATGTTCGAAACTAAAATACAAAACAAAAAAGGTCTATTAATCCTGATTCATTTTGAAAAAGCCTTTGACACTGTCTCCAAGAATTATATTACGATGGTACTGGATAAGTTCGGGTTTGGATTTAGCATACAGAAATGGGTAAATATATTGATATCAAATGCTTCTTCATGTATTGTTCAGAATGGACATTTGTCAACATTTTTTTTTAAACGAAAGGGGTTGTAGGCAGGGTGATCCAATCTCCCCATATTTATTCTTACTCGTTGCCGAAATACTTGGGATTATGATAAGAAATAACGAAACCATAAAGGGAATTGTGCTAAACGAAATTGAGCATATTATTGGCCAGTATGCTGATGATACTGAATTATTCTTGGATGGATCGGAAGCATCTCTTAATGAAGCTATGTAAACAGTTATATGTCTGGTCTAAAAATAAACATGGATAAAACCAAAGCAGTTTGGCTAGGGGCAATGGCTGGCAGTAAGACAACTTTATCCCATCATTTTAAGCTAGATTGGCAAAGTGAAAATTTTGACTTTCTGGGAATAAAACTTAATGCAGACTTACAAAACCTATGGGAGATCAATACTAAAAAGTACGGAAGCGTAGTAGGGCCACGGTGAAAAATCTTTTTGGTCTTACTATCTCCTACGTAGGACCTAATATCTCCTACGTAGGACTTACTATCTCCTACGTAGGATTTAGTATCTCCTACGTAGGACTTAGTATCTCCTACGTAGGACATAGTATCTCCTACGTAGGACTTAGTATCTCCTACGTAGGACTTAGTATCTCCTACGTAGGACTTAGTATCTCCTACGTAGGACTTAGTATCTCCTACGTAGGACATAGTATCTCCTACGTAGGACATAGTATCTCCTACGTAGGACTTAGTATCTCCTACGTAGGACTTAGTATCTCCTACGTAGGACTTACTATCTCCTACGTAGGACTTAGTATCTCCTACGTAGGACTTAGTATCTCCTACGTAGGACTTAGTATCTCCTACGTAGGACTTAGTATCTCCTACGTAGGACTTAGGTATACGTAGGACTTAGTATCTCCTACGTAGGACTTAGTATCTCCTACGTAGGACATTAGTATCTCCTACGTAGGACTTAGTATCTCCTACGTAGGACTTACTATCTCCTACGTAGGACTTAGTATCTCCTACGTAGGACATAGTATCTCCTACGTAGGACTTAGTATCTCCTACGTAGGACTTAGTATCCCCTACGTAGGACTTACTATCTCCTACGTAGGACTTAGTATCTCCTACGTAGGACTTAATATCTCCTACGTAGGACTTAGTATCTCCTACGTAGGACTTACTATCTCCTACGTAGGACTTAGTATCTCCTACGTAGAACTTACTATCTCCTAAGTAGGACTTACTATCTCCTACGTAGGACTTACTATCTCCTACGTAGGACTTAGTATCTCCTACGTAGGACTTAGTATCTCCTACGTAGGAGTTAGTATCTCCTACGTAGGACTTAGTATCTCCTACGTAGGACTTCATATATCCTTTTTAACGATGGTTATTAAGTTGAGAAATGTTTGGCTATGCAGGACGTTAGATAGTCGAAATGTGAGTCAGTGAATATTCACGACACTAACGCAGTGATACTGTACAGTGTGTATTACGTTAGGGTGACGTGGACCCTGCTCTAATTGCAGTTATGGAGGTTTGGGTATGGTTATGTTTAATCTATCATACATACAACTATTCACACACACAAACACACACACACAGAGAGAGGTGGGTGGGATGGTTGGGGTGAGGTTGTGATATGAAACTCGTGTTATAACACGACCTCCGCAAGTTGTTGCTTGTCTTGATGGGGCTAAGTTGGATCGGATGCAACGCTCGTTTGCGGTTTTATTCGTAATTGTTTACAGGTTGACTTGACTGGGGTGAACAAGTGTTGAGTGCGGCGTAAAACAATACGAAATTAAAAAAGGCAAAGAATTGTCATTATAGTTATTTGTATAAATGTAAGGGGATACGTACACATAGATTGCCACCTATAGTATAAGACACGTCTGTACACGCAGATTATGATTCATGTGCAACGACCTCTGAAATATCCAATGCATAATAGTAAAGTGTAACAAAGTGCAACATATAACAGTGAACTAACTGCAACGCGTAATAGTAGAGCAAACTGAACGCAAGGCAGTAAAGTATAACAGTCGGTCCAACACAGTACTAATGTGCAACAATTAGTTGAACACATGACTCTAATAGTGAAGGAAACAGTAGACACTAATAGTAAATTGAAACACATGATAGTAGACTCTAACAGTAAATGAAACACATAACTGTAGACTTTAATAGTGAATGAAACTATTAAGTGAATTGATATTAAGTCCTACGTAGGAGATACTAAGTCCTACGTAGGAGATATTAAGTCCTACGTAGGAGATACTAAGTCCTACGTAGGAGATACTAAGTCCTACGTAGGAGATACTAGATACTAATCCCTACGTAGGAGATACTAAGTCCTACGTAGGAGATACTAAGTCCTACGTAGGAGATACTATGTCCTACGTAGGAGATACTAAGTCCTACGTAGGAGATACTAAGTCCTACGTAGGAGATACTAAGTCCTACGTAGGAGATACTAAGTCCTACGTAGGAGATACTAAGTCCTACGTAGGAGATACTAAGTCCTACGTAGGAGATACTATGTCCTACGTAGGAGATACTAATTCCTACGTAGGAGATATTAAGTCCTACGTAGGAGATACTAAGTCCTACGTAGGAGATAGTAAGTCCTACGTAGGAGATAGTAAGTCCTACGTAGGAGATAGTGACCCCAAAAAAAATTTTCACCGTGGCCCTACTACGCTTCCGTAAAAAAGAGACTTGAAAATATTAAAAGAATTCGTTTGAGCTGAAAATAAAAGAAATTTAACCCTGATTGGAAAAATAACTGCTATAAAAACTTTGGCTCTATCTACTCTTGTTCATATCCTCTCTTCTCTCCCAAATCCACCAGATGAGTTTATTACAAACTTGAATAAGCTATTTTTTAACTTCATATGGAACGATAAGAAGGACAAGGTAAAACGAATAAATTTAATGCGAAAGTACGAGGAGGGTGGCCTCAGGATGGTCGATGTTAAAACTTTTATTCATTCATTTAAACTTTCTTGTTTAAAGAGATATGTTTTAAAATCGAACTGCTATAGACTAGCCGGTTTTCCAATATAACACATCATTAAGTTAGGAGCGAATAATAACAAAAACTACAAAATTACAAATCCGTACTGGAAAGATGCACTTGATGCCTGGCATAGATATGTAAACGGATATGTAGTTAATGATATTAACATAAATGAAATTCTTATGGAACCTCTCTGGTTAAATCACCAGTTTCACAATCCATATTTGATAATCAATAACTGGTTCAAACAAGGAATTGTTCATATAAAAGACATTTTCAATGACCAAGAGGTACTCTCATTTGCAGAACTAAAAACAAAATTTGATATTAAGGGCACAGTACTTGACCTAAACCGGGTCACTCTAAGTATTTCAATAAAATGGAAAGAAGTCCTTCAAAAAGCTGGACACCCAAGCATAACAAATGTATCGATATGTTCTCCTTGGAATGATCTTATTAAACCTAATAAAGGATCTAGGTCATTTTACGATTGTCTCATATCTAAATCCAATTTTACAAACGTATGCGATAAATGAGAAAGTGCATTAAACAATCATATCGAATGGAAGACCATATTTATGCAATATAGACAAACCATTAAAGACACAAAGCTTTTTTGATTTTCAATACAAATTTATGCATATAGTTATTTATACAAAACGAGAGTTGTTTAAAATGAAACTAGTTGATAATGACATATGTACATCATGTGGCGTAAGTGAGAATATTTATCATGTATATATTGAATGTCCAACCATTAGAATATTCTGGAAAGAATTCACCAATTTTGTTAATTGTGTCCTGCACACAACATTCGTACTCTCAGCTCAAGATATACTATTTTGTGCTAATAGCGACCCTTTGCTCAACCACATGATCATTTTAGCCAAACGCCACATTTTTGTCATGAATATCAAGGGTGTGAAACCAAGCTTCAACACATATAAAGGGTTACTAAAAGACGAATATGACATTGAGAAATATATTGCTAGAAACAATTTCAATATGAATTTATTTGAGAGAAAATGGATTCTACTCCAAAATGTTCTGTGAATGTGACAATGAAATAGCTTATACCCAAGTGTATATGCCATTGCTCCAGTTTTACATGCTCTTTTTCCCCCAGTGGAACTTGAAACAGAGTGACCTGCCACCCATTATATTATTTCATTTCAAAACTATGTCAACAGATTGTTTCATACAAAGTGTATCCAAGTGAAGTGAATAAAAGAAAATGGAAAAAAAAATAAAATAAAGGATTTACAGTTATTGGACCTGGAACAGAAACCTTCAGCTTTTTGCCTTCAGAAAACGTATTTGAAGGAGACAGATACAATTAATTTACGTCACTACAGCTAGTACCATTGTTTTTCTCCCCCTGGGGTAAGGGCTACTGAAGGTTCATCTATTTTAGTGAGGGAGGAAGTGATTCACAGCCCTGTCTCGCTGAATGTCAACCTTCAAGCTGTTGCTGTGCGAATTGCATTGCACATTGTGTTTACATTGTGCTCTTTGTATATTCCACCTTCTTTCGTTCTTCAACAGTCTCATCTCCAAGCTTTGTATGATCATTACCTAAACCATGTATTATCATGGGCGATCTAAATGGTCACAATCCGCTTTGGGGTGGTACACAAACGAACACTAAGGGCAAAGTTCTTGAGGATTTTATCACGAATACTGATATATGGATTTCAAATGATGATTCCCACACTTATTTCCACCCTGCTACTTGCACATACTCCTCACTTGATTTGTCCCTTATTGATTCAGATTTGCTCAATGAATTTGAATGGTCGGTTCATAGTGACCTCTGTGGAAGCGACCATTTTCCAACTATACTTACACCAGTTCACCCTGATGATGTTCAACCTTCAACAAGATATACTTTTACAAAGGCCAATTGGTCTTTGTTTGAGGCATTATGTAAAACTACATTAATACCTGAATTGATTTTGGGTGTTTGTGACCCTATCCAGATCCTTTCGGACAAATTGAAGGAAGTTGCTGATCAATGCATTCCTAAATCCTCTACAAATCCACATATACGAAACCCATGGTATACTAACGAGTGCCAACAAGCTAGAAAAGCAAGGAAAAAGGCAGAAACGTATTTCCGAAACCACCCCACGGTCTATAATTTAAATAGATTCAAGATATCAAATGCTAAGACCCGTCGCACCTTCAAGTAATCTAAGTGAGTGAGTGAGTTATTATTTAACGTCACATCGGCAATATTTCAGCCATATCGTGACGAGAACATTTGACATTGTAATGGAATATGTATATATTATAAAACCTGTCATCGAAGGACAGTAAAACAACTAGAATATCACACTTGGATTTAAAACTAGTGTGTAAGGTTAAAACTAATAGCACTATTAGGACAATACAAGATAAAAACAGGCTATAGATCGCCAACAACTGAAGGTCGATCACCATACTAGGGACCATGGGGACTTACAGTACCTTGGCTACCTGCATGGACCCTAGTTGGATTTACACCATCCGTTCAGCTGCTGGCGATTGCAAGAAATGTTAGCTACAATTAAAATGACAAAAATGCTACGTTTAAAAATCTTGGTAAGTTTAAATTGACTTTCGAAGTTTTTGGACTTACGTACCCCCTCAGGGGGACAATATTTTTACGATTCTTCAACCCCCCCTTGAGAGTACAGCCACTAACAATCTAAGTTACTAATCAAACTACCAATTATTAAAACACAGCTATTTACAGAACATATTAATCAAAATTCATTAATGAAATCAATTTCTTTTAAAAAACCAAGAATTAAATGAAGATGAACAGAATTAAAAAGATCCTTAACAGTTTTAACATTGAAATATTTATCCCTTATGATGGAGAATTCAACACAGTCAAGCAGGAGATGCTTGACCGTGACTCTCTCATCACAAGGGATACAAAACGGAGGATCTTCACCATTTAACAAATATTTGTGAGTGTACCTTGTATGGCCAATACGACATCGTCGCATGATGACCTCTTCAAATCTGGACTGACAACCCAAGTAAGTGTAACCGATATAGGGTTTTATTGCATGTAATTTATTAATACCTACTTGGATGTCCCACTTCTTCTGCATCAGATCACGGATGTAGGTTCTAATGCAAGCTTTGTAATCAGAGTAAGGAAGAAGAAGTGGTGTCACAGATTTATTTAGTGCTGCCTTGGCAGCAAGATCGGCCATTGTATTCCCAGAAATGCCAACGTGGCTGGGTAACCAACAGAAGACGATGTCGCATTGGCCTGTAGCAAGATCATTATATAATTCGATTATTTCAATTAAAAGTGGATGTTTGCAAGAGAGATTTTTAATAGCCTGAAGGCAAGAAAGAGAGTCTGAAAATATTATATACTGGTTATGTTTTGGATGTCTTTGAATATATTTAAGAGCTGTTAAGATGGCGTTTGCTTCTGCTGTAAATATAGAGCTGTTATCAGGTAGTCTAGAAGATATTGTTCTGGACCCAATGACAGTGGCACATGCCACTGCGCCACCGTCCTTGGACCCATCTGTAAATAAGGATTTGTATGTGTTATATTTGATTTTTAATTGATTATATTCTTGTTTATACTGTAATTCATTAGTTCCAGATTTCTTAAATTTTGTCAGAGTTAGGTCAACTTCAGGCCTAACCAATTGCCAAGGAGGAGAAGAAAGAAGACGGGAAGGAGCTATATTCTCCAGCTCAATGCCGGCAGCAGTAATAAATGGCTTCATTCTGAGCCCCAAGGGCGGAACAAGAGAAGATTTATTGTTGTACAAATCCTCATAAAGAGGATTAAAGATACAATGAAATGCAGGATTCGATTCGTTAGAATATAGTTTTGTAAGATATTGTAAAGATAATTTTATACGTCGATGGGCAAGAGAAGGCTCATCTGCTTCGACGTAGAGACTGTCAACTGGAGAAGTTCTAAAAGATCCAAGACAAAGTCTCAGACCTTGGTGGTGGACAGAATCAAGTAGTTTTAGATTGCTTTTGCAGGCTCCACCATATACGATGGAGCCATAATCAAGTTTCGAGCGGACCAATGAGCGATATAGGTGGAGGAGGGTAGCATGATCCCCCTCCCCACTTTGTGTTGGAAACAACTTTCAACAAGTCAAGTGCCTTCAGGCATTTAGTTTTAAGGGATTTAATATGTGGCAGAAACGTTA